AAGTCAGCTAAAAGACAACTAACACATGGGTACAAAAAAATGCTTCAGACGTATATTGTATTTGTTTTTGAAATGTAGTTGTTACCGAATCAGAAGTGGTAGAGCTAGAATATAGCCTGTTGTCAACCATAAACTTATTTTATGAAACAGCAAATTGTTTCTATTTCTTCTGCAGCTTGATTAGCAAATGCTATCAGCAATAATAGAAATTAAAAACAAAATTACTGTCACAAAATTTACATTTTGAATTGTATAATTCTCTGAGCTTCCTACTTGATCATAGTTTTAAAGATGCTTTTATGAATGTCTCAGATATCCAAACCAGAATACTAATATCTGAAAACTATGTGGATAAACCAAGAACACATGTCACAAACTCATTACTCCCAACACGGTTGTTAAACTGTATTTCTCACATATAGCAAAAAGGAACATGCAACATTAAAAAGCAAGTAAAAAAATCCCAATATACAAAACCGTAAAGACCATTTCATCTTCATCATTTCTATTTTGCAGAGAAATTAGAAACCTTCCTTAACTATCATATAGAAACTACATGACATTTGATCTCAATACAAATTTGTGTGCAGCAGCTACATCATCAAACACATGTGAAGGTTATTCAGCATTTTACACTTGTGAACTCTCAGAAGTTTGAGTTCTAAGGCAGGCAATCACTGTTAGCTCTTGCCATAAGAATAAAGACTTCAAACTGTGAGAAATCCACAAGCTATAGGAGTTCACATCTTATAATCCTATATTAGCAATGGGTTCTAAAGCCCTCCATCGTTTGACTTCGAGTTTAGCTGCTAAATTAGTGTGAACACAAAAGGCTATGGATGTGAAAAGGTTTGTTTCTGAATTTTTCTACACTGAAACATACCGTAACTTATGCACTTCAGTGAATTCAAAGCACCAAAACATTAATATTGCAGGAAATTAATTTTTTAACATAGTGGATGAAATAATGAAAATACCTTGCTAAACAGAACCTCAGACTCTGAGGACAGGTTCTGTAACAAGACTTATTCATACTGACTTTTCATTAGTCAATTAATTTCCCTTGGTACATGCTAACTAATATGGTTGTTAGTCCTTACCAGTAATACAGCTTCAAGTTGAAAATAAAAGATGGCTTTAATAAAAGTGTTACACTTTCTCCCAGGGAAAATCATAATCTACTCAAGAAAGTATTACTTAAGTGATACCAAACTGAGAAGAACAGGAACAGAATTATGAACATTATTTAGTACTTTGGGGGAAAGATGTTTCTGGATTTACCAATGATTTCTAGCAATTAAAGAAAAATAAGAAAATATAATACGAAAATATTTCAAATTCTAATTTAGGGCTTTTGCAAGTATAAAGCACACTTTTTTTTTTTTAAAATCAGGTACTAAAATGCACAGATTAGCAACACACAAAAAGAGAGTCCTCATCTGTTTTTATAATATTCCTTAAATTTGGAAAGTGTAACAACAAATGAAATCCCTCTTCCACCTGCCCTCCTTGATCAATGTAGATTTTAAAAACGGAAGTAATCTTCCCTTTTTAAATGCACCATCTGATTTCATAGGCACAATTCACTTTCAAGGAGCAGTAGAAAGACTTGAAAAATAACCTTCCATCAACTATTTTAATCATACTCGTACGTATCTCAATATTTATTATCTGACAGACAGTGTAAGATAAGAGTATGTTCAATCAGTAGAAAATATCAATCAAGTAAAACTTGTCACACATCATCTGAATAAAATTCATAATTGGATAAGTTTTTACTGTCATTTTCTTCAAATTCTCTTCCAGAATAATGTATTCCTATTTTTGTGGTTGAGAAAACAGAATTTTCTTTTTTCTTCATGCACTGCTTACACCAGAAGTTTCATTAATAAAACACAAAGAATCTGTATTCTTCAGTGGACTACAATTTTTTAAATTATTCTGAAAAAATTCTGTACACAACTAGTTTTTTTTGTAAAATTGTGTCTTTTACCAAAATGTAGCCTCACAGAAGACTGTGAAGACATTCAGTGTCCCATCAAACTGGGTGAATACGCATTATATTTGGACAAACGCAATTCAAAGTTATTAAATCCAAGATAAAGAATAGCTGGAATAATGAAAGAGCCACATTGGTGGATATATACCACAGAGGGAAAAGCATCAAGAACAAAATCACTGTTTAATGTTCAGCATTCAACAAAGAGACAAAGCAGACATTAAAATGTAGGAAAAGTGACCAAACAATAATAGCATTATTGTCTTACGTTACTGTAACAAAGTATGGTAAAAAGAAATGTGACTATAAAAACAGGTTAAGGAGGCAGCATGAGAAAAAATACAAAACAATCAGAATATAGAAAAAATAGGGAGCCTCATCTTATTGTCTCATCAGCCAAGAACAAAAATATAATTTATGAAAAGTAAAGGTGAAACTAAACTTTCTGAAAAAGAAAGAAACCAGGTAGATTTAATTTGTGGCACTTCCTGTCACAGTACAACACGCGAAGTACTTGACAAAATATATAAAAGAAACCAATTTCAAACTACATATATATATATATATTCCATATATATATTGCATCAGTCATGCACTACATAGAAAAATAGAAATAGTTTGGGTTGGAAAGATGTTCCTGTTGAAAATCAGTACTATCAATTGTGGGTTTTATTTCTTCGCTGGAGTTACTACTATTGGGGGCTGACAGAGACAAGATATGGTATGAGTCACTGCTAAAAATCTATTTTTTCAAGACAAAGTAGGTAAAAATGAAACTATTTTTCTGTATATGTTATGCAGAAAAAACCTTGATTAAAATGTGATTTTGAGCTTCTATTTATCTTCATGGAAATTATTCATGTGAAGAATGTACTTGCAGAGCACCTAATTAATACAGTTAGGAGGCAAAATAACATAGAAAACACAGAAACAGTAGTTCAGGGTATAAATGTGGAACTTACTACAACTTCAGGAAAATAGTGTGCATTTTCTATGCCTTCAGTGTAGAGACTTTAATATTCAACAGAGAAAGCACATGCTAGAACTTACTCTGAATTAAATACATACACAGAAATGCACTTGGAAAAAAAATCTCTCTCTCTTATTCTCTTGGAAAAAGAAAATACATTTTCTTTACTTTTTTTAATCCAGTAAGAAACCTCAGCAACAGAATGGTGAGTAGCTGGGTTGTGAGAATGTGAGCAGCTGCTGTTATTATAACTAAAGGTCTGTCTACGGCTTGAGCCTGAGAGACCACATGTTCGGCTGTCCTCTCATCTTGCCATCCTCACCAATTAACTATTAACATGGAGGGCTGTACACATGCTCTCAGGGGCTCTTTAACAGGCTTCTTGGAGAGTGGAACAACTACACAGCAGGGCTCTGGGAACTGAGTAATGTGGGGTATAAGGAACCCTCAGCAGCTTTGCTCCTCCTAATGACAGTTTTCTCCATAGTTTAGTGCTTAAAGAAGGATACATGAAGTTTAACATTAAAAAAAAAATTAATGCTCTCATTTGTTTAACATTGCTAAGCAAAGATTCTGGAAATAATGTTTTTTTTTTGTTTTTTTTTTTTTAATTCTGAACATTCTAGCACCTACTCTAAAACAACCCTGTTAAAATCCAAAACTCAGTTATTTAAAAAATGAGATATAATTTCAATCCTAATTCCATAGGAAGTGATTTATATGGAATTTATAAACACAAATCCAAAATCAACTTCCCAGGCAAGTTTGCAACAAACAAAAAACTTCGTCCTTCAGTTTGTTTCCTGAGATGCTTGTGGACTTCTCTAAAATATGATCATACCTTTTACTGACACAATATATAAAAAAAGAGTACAATGAAGCAGATTGTATGTCCCAGTTATGGACAGGTAATTCCCATGCACAAAAAGAAGGATGCTAGTTTTACATTCACAAATTCTATTCATTGAATTAAATTTCACTTAATATTCAAAACCAGCTAAGTAAGGAGATGAAGGTTTGCACTGCAAGAGGAATATTCATACACTTTTGATTGCAATGGTAAAACTAGAAAATCAAATTTCTTTAATTTCAAAGCAGTAAGTGCATCAGGTATCTAGATAAATAACTTCTGCAGGTATTCAAACACCTTTTCAAAATGCAATACGTAAGTGGGAGTCATGTACTCACCTAAGATAGGATGTAATCTAACGATAAACTCATCTACTATGAAAACACTTTGCATAATATGAGGTTTTATCCAGTCCCTTTTTACTATAATCAAATCAAATTAATATCTAAAATTATAGGTTCTCTGTTCATTGTTAATAATAATTTAGCTTTTGTAAGTTACATTACCACTTGCAGAAAAAAAGACTACCTACGTTTTTCCTTTTGCTAAAAAAGTTTATTTCCAGAAGATACACTTAAATCTCTATCTGCTCTCAGGAATGGTGCTGTTAGCAGCTTTTGATCTTGCAGCTGGGATAATTACTCTGACACCATAACTGGTTTGTTCCTGGTCCCAAGAAAAGGGAATATTAGAATTAAAGAGTAAACCTGTATCTTTCAATTCCTGGCTTTAAAAACAAGATCAGACATCATCATAATGAGTATGACAGATGAAGACAGTGGACTGAAATGTCTGTTATTGAAACTCCAAACAGGGTTCTGAAGGCAGTGGAAAACTGCCTAGGGATGTTGTAAAAAAAAAAAAAAAAAAAAAATTACTAGCAGGATTCTCTTTGCTTTTTTTATAGTTTCTGAAATTTTGATAGTTTTACTAAAAAGACCAAGACCCACATGAGGCATAATTGTATCTAAGATGGTTTTATGGTTAGGCTTTTGTAGATTTTTCAGCACAACTGACCCACAAAAGTAGAGAAACACCACAGTGAAGTTATGTTTGCCATTTGAACAAAAAGAGTTTTCAAAATGTCAAAAATTGCATTTATTTTCTTACCACAAACTTTAAAATAAAACTTTGCTAACTGATGTGTCAACTATGCAATACAGCAAAGAGAGCGTTCCTACCTGGATAAGGTGAGCAGGCACTGTGATGATGCAGGCTGACAGAGATTTTCTGAGGAGGCCACGGAGAACATACAGAAATTTTGTAAGGCTATGAGTATCTTCAGGAGTATCACTGCTACAAATGTCATCACCCCACAACATGGAACCCAAACTCTGAATTCCTATCCGCAAAATATTCTTTTGTTTTTTCTATTGAAGAAAAAAAAAAAAGCCACTTGTTATTTTTTAAACATTAAGAGGAAAATGCATTTAAAAACCACAACTTATAGAATTTATATCCATAATAATTACATACTTCAATCACAGCTTAATCTCAGACGATCTTATAAAAATTACAAATGGAATGGCATTTTTTTACTGGCTGGATAACATGCTATGTCAGACAAGCAAGTACAAGTGGAAGAGACAGCACAGAAATACTGAAAACTACGAATCTGCACTTTGTAACCAGTTAAGTGTAAGCATATTCTGACACAAAATACAATGGTACTATGATTTTTCATGTCCTTTCTCTCCTCCATCACTGCCCTGGAAAACATGCAAAAGAATCTTTTCTCCAGCTCTAACCTGGTCTGCTGGAGGAGCCTGACAGCAATCCAACACAACTTTTCCCTCCACTTTCAAATTTTCACTGTCTTACTTTCATAACCTGACTATTCTGTTTGCTTCGGTTTCACTTTTTCTGCTGCTTCTAAATGACCGAGATGGGTGCCTATCTCACCCAGGCAGGGCCCTTTCACTGTTTGAGAAGTCCCTTAGGAATCACCTGCACTCCTGTCACCTCCTTCTGCCTAACGAAGGAAGGTTTACCCACAGAGGAACAGCCCTCGATGGAGACGTCAGCAGATTGTCTCTTAAGGACTACACCTTTCTGAAAGTCTTTGACATGAGTGTTTCTGGATCTGCTCTAGTTAGCTACCGGGTACTAGAATCTAAGCTGTTTTGACGTGTAAAATCCTAAATGGCCTCGTGTGTTACCTGCCTAAAGACCTCTTGCTGCCCTGCAGTACACCGCCAGAGTACTGTGCACTCAACAGAGGCAGTGGCTAAGATGAACCCCCTTTGCTGAAGGGGCAGATTATGAAGCCAGAGTCGTAATTTGTTTATCAAAATAAAATGTTATCTCTCATGATGACAAATCTCATTTCAGCTTATTTGATGTGACGTTTTCTGGTGATCTGTGAGAAGGATTTTAGGTGTATTTGCCATCAATAGCTGAGACAGGGACAATACACACCCTTGGTGAAAGACTTCCTCTACAAGGTGGACAAAGCTACATTTCTAGAGTTCAGGGTTCATACTTAAATACCATTTTGTTTCAAAATATATATATAAAATACTAGTTTAGAAAACCAAAAGCGGGTACATTCAGTTACAGCAAAGTGCTTTGATAAACTGTAGATATCAATTTCCACCATTCCGAATTGCAGCTGGAATGAACAGGAACCATCAAGCACAAAACATTGCACAGCTGCTCTGGAAATCCAGAAGGGTTTTGACAAGACAAGAGACTACTCTTATAGATACTTCCCTCTCCATATTGGGCAGACAGAGCCTCAGCTGTGAAACACAGTACCACATGGCTCTGCATTTAGCCAACTCTCATGGCTTAAACAGTGAGCAGATCTGCCAATTCACTTCCAATCTTTGTGAAAGCGATATATGTTTTAACTCTGGCAGATTCTTCAGTCTCAGGCTTTTGCAGGCTTATGGGTTTTGCTTACACAAAGTCAACTTTTTACACTACCTTATGAAGATCTGGATAATAGTACAGCATAATACAACACAATCTGACTTCTCTGTATGACATTGGTCAGGCTTGGATGTTCAGAGTTTAGAAAGAATAGAAAAAACAGAAGCTAGTCTAATATACTTTAGCGACTTCTAATCAGAGCAGGTTAATGCATTTCTTGACGTGTGTTTAAGCAACAGTACAAAATCAGGCATGTAATAAAACTATTTTACACAGATATAATGGATATTGATCATGCAGCTAAGGTGTTCTGGCATTTCAAAATTTCAGAGCAAACACACACAAAACTTATAAAAACTTCTGTAATGAGAAAAATATTTTTTACTGGGAAGAACATCCGTAAGAACAACACACAGAGAAAAAAACTATCAGAATATCAGTTCTCTTATTGGATAAAGGATTACAGATACTTGTTTCACAATATTAAATCATAAGAGTTGTAAAAGACAAAGCTATTCAAACACCAGATAATATCAGATGTACTTGTTTTGGCCAGTAACGTATTTTCTACCAGTATAATTCTGTCAGGCACACAAGGCCCTGACAAATGGCTTATTCCATAACTGAAATATAAGGAAACCATAAGTCGAATAGTCTATAACAACAAGCCTGCAATGCAGAGTAGTATAATATTTTTTTTAGATATACCATCAGATCTTTTATACCCTTATTAGTTCAGATTTTTTTTTTAAACCTTTTAAATGTAATTTTTGTAACAATGTGTGCTTTGGCAGCAAGACTTCTGATTACAAAGAATTAAAAAACCTAACTCCAAGCAAACTAAAACCCAATTCCCCCCCACCCTTTATTACCCTGAAAGTCACCCAACTTCCATTCCAAAGTATACTAAAAAAATGTTAAGGAAATAAAGTTGCCTATGAAAGTTTTGTTGTCAAACGTGAAGAAATCAAAACAATTCTGAAACAAACAAGTGCTGTTCTATATGAGTTAAAACCATGCTCAATTTATAAAGGATTCATACTTAATGATCATCAGCAAAGAGTTACCAGGAGGTTTTAAAAAGGATGTAAAACTGCTGCTCATATTTCTAGGTTACAGGTCATTCTGACTCTGAATTTCCAAATAGGTCTTGGCAAAGATGTTCAAGTCAGTGTGAATGAACAGGTCACTGCTTTGGTTAACTTCAACCAAACTTTTCTGTAGCCTAATACCTCAAATAGGAATTATTGTCCTAAGGCCCACAAAGTCATGCAGGACAGTCAGAAAATATTATTTGATGATGGCCAACAGCAGATGGTCCTACAAAACATTAATGTTATCTAACCATACTAGGTCCTAGAGATGCTGGACCATTTTATCAGGGGTCTACTAGACCTCTAAAGGTAGTTTTCACTGATTTTCCTAATTGTCTCAAACTTCTGACAGCTGGGCTGAGTCCCGTTCTGCTTACTTTTCTCCAGACCCCTATTCAAATACTGGTATTAGATAAAGAGGAGCCAATAACAAAGAAGAGTAAGTCTAAGTATCATTGGCATATTGATCTGAAAGTAGAGAAAAATATCTGAATGTTTTACCAGTCAGGTTAAACTTTTCCTTTGAATCCACATCCAACAAGCAACACATTTCTAGATTTCCAGCGTCTGGAGATTTTGGAAGGATTATATGTATGAAAAATGAAGCTTTAATGGCATCAGCTTCTGTCATTCACGGACAGTGACTAATGGATTTACTTAAAGACAGTATGTAAATCTCCTTAAAGTACAGTACCTCCTTGCTACCTTTTGGCCCTTGCGGTTTTCTCAAACTTCATGAAAGCTACCACCAATAGGACCCACCCAAAGGGGAGAGGATTATTTGGGAGGGAAGAGCATACATGCACAAACTTCTCAGAAGCTTGTATTATTATATACAGGAAAGGACACAGGTCCAGAAGACTGTGCTGGTCCTTACTCTACTATCTTCATATCTGGCTACTTAAAAAGTACTTCTGAAAGCTCAGTAAATAGGAGGGGACTCAGAGTAACAGAGAGGTGAATTTCCCATAGATTTGGAAGATAAAAAGATCCAAGGTGTGTTATGGACCATAACTACATTAAACTCTGGATATATTTGTTAAGATGTTTGTATCATATACTGCTTCAAAATGTACAAAATTTGAGTGTACAAATACGATGTATGGGGAAAAGAGGAACCTAAAAAGAAAGATACTGCTCCAGGAAATCATACGCATTATCTCCCTTTAAACAGAAACAACTACGCAAGCGCGAATGGCTTTCTAGGTTAAACTGGCGTGAGAAAGGACTCTTTCAAACTTCTAAAGCTTCACCTCAGAAACTTATATCCATCATTTAGCAAACATATACTTTTAAATTCATCAGAGTTCAAGTTCTGGTTTTGCTTTATTGACACCAGTAAGACAATCTGAAACAATGAACAAGTACAGAAAATAAGTATCCACGGTGTCTAATTTTACCTTGCTTGCAGCAAAACCCCCCAAAATATTGTCTCTGACCAACCTTCATTTACTTTTACATGTAAAAAAAATTCAGGAATATACAAAGGTGCTATTTTCCCACCAGACCTAACCTGTAAGAAAAATCAGAAGCACCAGCCTAATCTCTTCAGTAGGAGGTTGTTTGCTGGCTGAAGGTTGGCAGGGTGCTCGTTTCGCTCGGCGCTGCTCTTTGCAGACAGCAAGCTCTCGGGCTTCCACGGGACCTGTCACCGCGCGGGAGGAGCATCTCTGCACACAGCGCTGTATGGCAGGATGACATGCCTGTTGCCATGGCTACCGCAGCGAGTGGGGAGAGGTGCCTGTCAGGGACCAATTTACTTCTCCAGACTGGCACTGCCACCAAAGAGAAGGTAAGCTCGCCCATCCATCTCAGCAGAGACTAAACACTGAGCACAAACAACCTAAATTTACACACAAGTGTTCTCTGAAGGTAATGTTTCTCAAACATACTGTTAGACACAAACACATCCATTCCAACACTACCTACCCCACAAAAATGATTTTTAAGATATTCAACTGGTAACAGTACACAGTCTTGTATTATATTCTTTGAGGTTCTCCAGCATCTATACCAATTTAACTTCTCTACAGCAATCTTTCTATTGTACAACAATAGAGACAATTACCTATCAATTAAGCATCAATATATAATTCATTATTTTATTTCCATCAACTCCAAGTAAGTCACATAGTACCGAATATGACAAAGAATAATAGATAGGGCACTGCTCAAATTAGAAAAGGGCTTTCAATCTATGTTGTTAATGCTCAAAATGTTTTTGATTACCAACAGTATGATTCAATGAAGAGTACAGAGATCTTTAGAAGTCTGGTAAGCTGTTTTGATTTGTAAAGTTGAAATAGCATTCTTATTTCTTTACTTGTGTTTCAATGCTCACTGCATAAAGATGCATACCATTTAATTCATTAAAAAATTCACTCCAGTAAAAACAACACTGAAAAAATCTAAAAGTTTAAGATTAAATGGTCAGTCTCACGTATCTTGAACACATTATTGCTAAAGCAATAGTTTGAAAAAAAAAATACTGCAGGGGGAAATGTGTTTCGCTTAATTACATTGTATTTGTCAATCCATTTATTAGCTAATTGCATAGAATCTGCATTTTACTAATGTCATCTTACAGTTTGTTCTTGTATGGTCTGTGTACATCTGTAACTGGTAAAGAGTACAAATGCCCATTAAAATATGATCCGTGCTCTCTATTTACTTTGCTTGTTTACTTTAGTAATGCTTAGAAACAGCTTGTTCCTTGTTAGTTTGTCCAAGACCTTCTTGTGTCACCCCCGAAAACTGAGAAAAGCACATAAACTACAGGATTATAGAAGAGTACAAGAGTGTTCAGTACCTGGGGATCAGAGCCATCAAATCTTTCCTGGTAAATGATCCTCTGAATGGACTGAAGCAGCCTTGCATAAGCACTGTTCATATTACTGTTGGTAAGAAGAAGCAGTTTAGAAACACATTTCAATACTCTCCACTATGTCTCTTAACAGCTGTATTAAGAATAAATATAAGCAGATGCACCTTTCATTCTAAAGGCATCATATAGAAAGAAGCGTCACAAAAGAAAAAAATCCATCCTTCTTTAAATAAAGTTGACATTAGAAGTAGTTGTGATTGCTTTGTGTTAACTAGTTCAGTACTCAGACATTTAGTGAGAGCTAAAATCTCTAGAGATTAAGATAACTTAATTATGTCAGGCTCACTTACATCTAGAAGATTAATGATTTAATGTATCAACTTAAAGTTGAAACCATTACAGCATAGTACTAATCTTCCATAACTGACAAAGGGCTACCCAACTGTAATTCCAAGTATACCTAATCAATGCCCTCATGAACAGAGTTGACTTTCTGTTACTGTAAGCTTACATACACACAACTGCTATAACAACCAAAAACAACAAAAAATGAAAGAGACAAAATTTTCACAATCAAGTTCATGTAGTTTATCTATTTTTTTTTAGTATATTTTTCTGATACTGCATCTGAGCATAAGATACATTCTACTGTGCTACGGTTCCGTTTTGTATCCATATGTTACAGGTGTTATTACTGCTTTATTTGCATGACAGCAGAATTCTGAGGTAGAATTTAGGTATTATTTAGAAAATACATATAACATAATTTTTTTTTTTAAAAAGGCTATCCAGTGGCTAAAAATGGATTTAAGCAGACTTAATATCAAATGAAAGTTTAGCAAATCATCTCGCCAAAGTCTTAGAAGGTCCAGTTCCTGCATGTCCAATGCACTTCTTCAGATATCCATCCCAGCCACATTCTCCAGTTCCACACATACAAAGGACAGAAAGTCCTAATCTTTGCTTTAAATATGCAAGGCATTTTGCTTTTAAAAGAGACATGCTGTTTTCTTAAATCTCATCAGGCATACTGGCTTGTGTGTCTGGAGTTGATGTAGGTTCCTTACTGCAGCTGAGAGCTGAAGCCCTCCTATGTTTTCTACCTTCAGCATTTCCTTCTAGTCTCACTCACTACCATCTAGGGTTGTGGATTCAAACTTCTTGTGTACTTCTTGGGAAACAATGACAGGTTATTTTGCAAAAATGTTGTTACTTGCTCCAATCATTTTAAATGTCTGGTCTGATAACAGCCCAGGTAAGAGCCAAAAAACTTTTGCACAGGAGAGAAGACAACTTTTCTGAGAAGCACTTAAGAGTTGCAAACATCTGTCTTTTACACCATTGCTTTAACTTGGAATTCTAAATTTATTTCAAGAAAACACTATGAACCCAAACCCAACCCCCTTAATGACATATTTAAGTTATAAACATCTACAATCATAAAAGTCATATAGCCATAATAATTTTGAGTTTTGAGATACCAATGTCAGAAAACATTAAGAGATGACCTTTCTCAGATATGAACAAAAGGGAGAGTTTACAAATTAAACTCCATTTTTTTTTTTTTTTTTCAGATTTAGTACCCTGGAAGGCTACTGGTTAAACTGATGTACCTTTGTAATTTAATACTCTCTTGAAATTCACAGCTGAAAGTAACTGGCAAAACATAATCTCAACATGCCACTTAATGTGTAAAGTCTGCTTCCTATACTAAAAACAGAAAAAGAAAGAGCAAATTTTCAGTTATGAAGTAAATTACTTTCCTAGTGCTTAGTTGCAAAAGGAATGGCTGTTAAATGTTATACCCATACTGTCTTGCAGGTGCCAGTTCACAGGGTAGGTGGAAAGAAAAAGGGCTTTAGCTCCCATGCTAGCCAAAATGCCTTCTCTCTCCACATCTTCACATTATCGCAACACACACACACAATCCTTGGTGCTTACACAGTCCTGAGATTTCTTCCCAGTTTTGCCAGAGCTGGCGAGAATCTGCAGCACTTCAGAATAACAAGAAGGATTTGTGTATCGATTGGATATTTCTTTATCCTTTTGGAAAAGACACAAACTGCTGCTCACCAACATTAAGAAGGAGTTTGCACCTATCTTGCAGCCATAGCCAGGAACACGGTATGTGTAACAAAAAAAGACGACTGTGGCCTTGTATACCACCACAAACTAGGATTTTCAAGTTTGTGTATTTATCACTTATTTTGCTTATGAGTCTTACTATGTTATCCATCAGGAAGCTGGAGAACGTACCACAGCTGTGATACTTGCCAATTACTGATTTGTTACTAGTTTGCTCTTAGAAGTGGATAAAAGAATAAAATACTTAAAGCATTAGTAGAATTTGAGAGTTCTAAAATTTAAAAAACCAAACCAATAAAAGAGAACTTAATTTAATTCATCAGAAAAAAGATTTGTAGCAAAGAAATAAATAAAGAAAATAATGTACTGCATAAAGATTGTTTTTAAATCTAAAACCAGGTGCTTTTCTACTTCTGGCTAAAATATTAATGGTTTACTTGAATTTGAACCATGCTATGTTAATAAGATCATGAAAAACATTGTGAAAACACTATTTCTAAAAACAAGTTGCATTACTCTTTTGGCAATGTTTGTCATAAAATTTAAGGAAGGAAATAAGTTATTTTTTATTTTCTAATTTCTACTCTCTTTTTGGCTTTCTTACTAAACAGCATTTAATTCTGATAATGAGTTCAAACAATTCTTTCTTTACTCTCTTTTTTTGTTTAGCAATTTAGTAATGGATAAAGCAGGAGCTGGCAAGAAGGTATCCTGGTTACAACGGAGCCTCTGACTTCTCTGTTGATAGTTTCTAAGCAGTTAACAGAGGTTAGGTTATCAAGTGTATGACAAATAGCCTTATTATGTACAAGGAGACCCCATTAGGCAAGAGAGTTAAACATGTTTTATCTAATTTATCGGTAAATCTATACACAAATTTTTTATTTTTTCAAAAGCACATACATTCTTAAGGTAAAACTTATGAGAATTACTGGAAAAATACAGACTAATTATTTCAGTTCCCTTCATTATGGAACTTTCTCTTTTGGTAATTGCAGCTGAACAATGACGACAGAAGTAAGAGGGGCAGAAAGTAAGCCTTTTCTGTAATGCAGTGTTATCATAGAGAATATTTCTGCCTTCCTGTTAAGCACCAGCTTTAGCAATGCAACAAAAAGGACACTAGAATATCCTAGCAACAGCAACTGGAAAACAGTTGCTGTCAGCAGCACAACCCTGTTAACCTGGACCCAGCATTAGGGCCAGGACATAACTGCCCTTCCCCAACATGAAAAATAACCAGATAAGAAAGAGAAGGTTTATACCTTCTTTTGGCACCAAACACCCAGTGCCATCTACTGCTTCCTGTAGGAGAACAGACTTCCCAATCTGTTTTTCAATTACTGTTTATTGTGGGGCAATGAACTTCTACTCATCTTGAGTGATTATTCAAAGGAGGACCTTGTGATCTAATTTAGCCATCAGGTACCACATCTACAGAAAGGAGAGCAAACACAGTACTCCTCATCTCCCTCTGTCCGAAAGCAGATACACACACGTGTGCTAAAACACAGGAAAGAAAAGAAGGATTGATCCAAACTTTAAGATGAACAAATGATGTATATAACCTCCAAATCTGATCTTTAATTGCAAAGTAAAAGGCCAGTCAATAACTTAGTTCTGTCTAATCAGTCAAAGAATTTCCTTTCTTTGCAAGTTGATAAAGAACCTAAAAGCTTGTGTGGATAGAAGAGAGGAAGAACTGATTTCAGTGTTAACACATTTTCTGTCAATCTTCTTTTGATATATTAAATTTTTAAAGTAATATTTTTTGAGATTTTCTGAATTTCAAGTAATTTTTGTAATGATTCTTTTAGTTCCTTCCAGGCTATCAATACTGTCTTTGTGGTACTGCCAGCCTAATAGAATACAGAGGCTTTGCAGTGCTCTAAAGGTAAGCAGCATTTTGTGACCAAGTGTTTTTTTGGCTATGTATCTAAAAGACAGAACTTCATGTTTAAGAAATTATATCTTCTGAGTGGAGATATGCTGACTAACCATGTCTATGCTTCTAGTTCACTGTAACATAGAGTAAAAGAAGTTAGCTCAAGGCCTCAGTGGGACCTTCAGCCAACCAAGGATAAGGTCTCATAGCGATTGCTGATTTTATTGGAAGAGTTAACTGTGACTATAGTATTACTTTCTTTCAAATCATTCTCTAGTTAGTCAAAAGAACAGAAATTTTTGTTTCTATGATATATTGAAGTTAGCTTTAGAAGCCAGAAGCATTGTATTGATTTTCCAAACAGTAATGCCAACAAAATAATATCCTTTCCCTCCCCTTTTATAAACTTTCTTTAATGAAATCATGCTGACAGGACTGTGAGCTTGCTTTCATTCCTTGAGGAAACAATGCTTCCTTCAGAATTTCATAACAATAATATTTGTAAAAACTACAATACGAGGCTGTTGGGTTCCCATAAAGGCATGAATGTTTTAAGAGCCGCGAAATAACTGGTAACATTCATACTTAGTATTGGATTTAATACACTGTGACTAATGTGTATTAAAGAATCACAGAAGATAGGGATGAAAGGGACCTCAAGAGGTCAGGTAGTCTATCTTCTAACCCTCTCTGACAGATACCTACCTAACTTGTCCTTAGAAATTTTAAATGATGGAGATTCTACAATACTCCCAACTTGAGTCTGCAAAACACCTTCTTCTTGTGCTAATCATTAGAAAAATATCTCCTTATTTCCGGTCTGTATTTCTACCACTATAGTTTACTCTAGCCCATTACCTTTGTCCTGCCTTCAGCAGACAACAGTTACCACCTTCTGCCTGTCAGTTTTTAACATGCTTCAAGGCTCTGCTTACATTTGTCTAAAGAACTTCCATTCTTCCGTTACAGGCCATTACATCCCAGTTCTGGATGTATACCCATCTTCACAACTAACTGATCCAGAGTCTTCTTGAAGGATGCTATCAAAAACTAGACAGCCTTGTTATGGCTGAGCAGAATAGAAGTACTTTGCATGTCTTCCACATTAAATTCTAGTTTATCACCTCTATGCTTCTTAAATTATGCTTTTTGGTAATATAAATCACACAACACTGCTAATATATTTTATGTTCAATATATCACCCCAGATCTTCTTCTGGAGACCTGCTACACTATTTTATTTGTCCAATTAATTATTCCTACTAGTATGATATTTGGCATGTCTTCACTGAATTCCATATATTTTATTGCAGATCATCCACCTAAACATTCTTGAATTCTAATTCTGTTATCTAATCTGAATGCAACTATTCCTTCCACTTTTTTCCAGATTTGACATTATGACTGCAATAAAGATACCCATTGTTCAGGATAGGTATCAAGCCAAATTAGTACTAGATTATTACCAGACCCAACACTGGGATAAAGTCTGGTCCTTCACTCAGGTTCAGCTGTGACTCAATGACAGCTTATTTAGAAGATAAGGATTTAACGATCAACATGACAAAAAGAAAACTGTCAACTAGTCTATGTTCCTCCTTTGACATGGTAACAGACTTTATCAATGGAGACCATCTCCTGTTTTCGAGCCTTTTGACTCTATCCCAGCTGATTACCCATAAGCAAACAAAAGAAATACATAGTAGGGGAAACTATCCTAGAAGCTTAAAAAACAGATGATATTATTTTTTTCTGGTATTTTTTTGAGCACTGATGTTATCCCACAGACGTCTTCACCTTCTCCTCTGCTTTGCATTGCTTTGGCCTTTTTGACTTTGTGGTACTTTGATGATTTGTTATGTTTTACTGATGAACTTAATTGGATTCCAGCTTGAAAACATTTATGTATTGTCTAACCTGGTCTCTCCTTATGTAAATTGGGTAGTCCAATTTGCTGATATTAACTGTGCTAGGTGCACATCAATTTGGGGACTGGGGTAATGGGAAAAGCAGCATTTCTCCATTTCCATAATTTTTGAAGATACTCTTGTGTCTATCCTCTATGACCCTGCTACAAAAAAATAATAATTATACATAATATATAAATAAAGCTGGTTCAAACATTTACTATAGAAAGAAAAAAAAAATAAGTTCTCTGCTTTCTTCTGAAAGTGTATTTTTTTTTCAACATCACAAGAATATACTTTATAAACCAGTGACATTTTATCATGTAACACCGAAACAAATTACAAAGAGACCTGGCTTTTGCCTTTACAGCTCTAAGAAAGGTGGTTCATACTGCACTTCTTTCATAGATCTTAGGTTTTATATTTCAGTGTGCTGTAATGAAAATCAATCACAATAAAGCATATCGTGCTATTACTTCCAGGAGTTGGCCCTATACACTGGGATCTATAAAACTGGGTATTATATAAATTAAATGACTGGGATAAACAAAGAGATTGCTAGCCCGTATTTGATGTTTGACTTGACTTGAAATGTCTCCAAGAAAGATACGATGGATGTGTGTGCTACAGGCTACCATGAGTCTTTGCTACTGTCACTCATTTTCTCTCGGTCTTCCTTGATTCATTACTGATAGACATAAACTATAACAACTTATTCATTCAGAGACAAATTTATGATTTTCTCTGGAATTAGGGGTGTTGCATAAGACATAATTAGTGATTGTAATTCTATTCACAGTGTTTTGTATTTTCCTTAGGTGAAGCTGTAGGATGTAAGAAGTAAAAGTGACATAATAAACTAATCGGATATAGCTATGTAGGTCAAGGATGGCCTGTCTTCTTAGCCCTAAAAACTGTACGGATATCTTCCTAAGACTGATAGCCACCTGACACACACATCTCCGAAAGCTGATGGGGCATGGTGCTCAGGGAGTAGTTCACAGACAGATAGTAATAGTTTTCCCCAGTCCCCACACTCAGCTGTCAGTAGGGCTGGACTGAACATGCAGCCGTGTCCTAGGCTGTCCTAGTAATGTCTGCCTTAATTGTCCCTGCCAACTTGCTTCCTCCCCGAGCTGAGGAGTCAGTATACTGAGCTGTCTGCACCAGAGTAGCCTTGCTGCCAGTCATAGCATGTAGCACTGACGTGGAAACTACAGCTGAAGTGCTTGTGAGCCATCCATGGCTACGAAATTTTTCACAGCAAGTATAGATGCAAAGATTTCCTTTACTGTTGATGTGCAGACAAAATTTGAACACACAACAGAAGCATGTGGTATTACAACTTACCATGTTTTCATTTGAGGCTGTAAAGACAATTCTTCAGGAAGGAAAAAACTGTGCCATTTTATGGACTCAAACAGTTCTGGAGACATTGTTTTAGAAACATCATAATAATGGCCAAACTTTGTAGATGTTGTTGGGCTGGCCTGTGGAAAGAGCAATACTGATTACAATAACCTATTAAATTATTACCTGTCAAAAGAAAATAATTAACTAGCAATACACTTGAAAGAAACCTCTGATTTTTTTCCCATTCAGCATAAGTATAAGCTTCAAGCAGAAAAACAATATAACATTTACTACTACGTTTTGGTTCCCCTGTTAACATTCTACAATGTGAATTTTTCACGCAGAATTCAACCCTTACTGTTCCAGGTTGCACCACCAAAGTGCAGTCAGATGCTTAACATAATGTATTTTCACACATTCTAGACATAAGATCACAATTTTCAAAAGGCCAGATATATGAAATGCGCAGAACATGACATGTTCCACCTGTCTGAGTTTTCAGTATCTGGGAATTATACAGTCCTACAGAAACATTTTCAGTTGACTTTGAAAATGTTTCCCTTTGATTATTTATGATCAGTAAGAAGAAATACCATTGCATCTTCATATATCTGATTTTAATGTAAAATTGTTAAGTAGAGGAAATAGTTAAAAACTACTTTTAATTTCTTGAATTCTGAATAAACAGCAGGTTGAGCATTACACAGACATTGCACACAACAACCATGGTTTACTACAATGAAGATTTTTTTTATCATCTCTCAGTTTTGGGTATATTAAAACATTGTAAACCCCCCACATTTAATATACACCACAGCAGAAAAAACACATTTTGAATACGTTTTGCTAGTAAATAAACAGAGGAAATGAATGTATATTTTTGCTTCACATTAATGCAGTTCAGCATGCAACCTGCAACATCACTTGAATTATACATGTAATGTTAAAAAACCCCTAAATTGCTATAATATGCAGTATTCAAGTATGTAGTAGCTGTCTGCTACAGGAATTGAACCGTTTTTGCTCTTCATGTAACAATGAACGTTCTTCATCTTTGCTGCCCTTCCCATTAAAAACAAAACAACAAAAAACAAAACAAAACTGTCTTGGAAAGAACAGTCAAGCAAAGTAAACCTCACAGGCAAGTTATTTTCTTCCAGGGAAGGAAAACAAGTGGCACAAATGTAAATCACTACATAGTATTTCTTAATGTACACACTGTAAAGGAGTAATGATTTACCAAAGCAATAATAAAACTGATCTTTAGGCTATGGCACAAACACCACTGTGCTCCTGATTAGATTATTTCTCATCAACTGTTCTAATTCTTTTCAGGAAAAAGAAAGGTCATTTAAAATAACCACATAAGTTTTGTAATATAAGTATCAATCAAAACCACAATATTTCTAACCGTTAAGATGCCTGGACTGAGAAACATAATGGATCCTAGACTTCTAACAGCAGCTTTGCAGGTCAAAAGAAAGATCAGCTATTGGTTTATTTTGAGGACAACTACCATAAGGCTGGACTTCATCCAAAGTGTGTGCATTGCATAAAGCAGGAACACGCAAAAATATTTTATCTATCTCCCAACACCAAGACTTACTGCTAAGCTGAATCCCCCGTAAGACCCAAGAGGCACCTCACATATGAAATGATGAGGTAATAAAATAAAATTAAATATCTCAACAGCTGTAAGAGAACAGGTGAAACAGAAAAGGTATGAGCTGAAAGTGAGATGTTGAAGACACACAGCAGAACAGAATGCCTTTTAAAGGTCGTTCTGAAGAGATGCTTCAGTTAGTAGGTAAAATGAAATGTTATTTTGTCTGTACTGAAAAGCATGGAATTTAGAAAAACTGAACAGAAATGCCCCAAATAATTTCAAAAGTTTCTCAGTAGGTTCCATAACAACTTAGAACATTCTATAAAAGGATTTTTCTTTTAAGCAGGCCAATATATATGTTTTATCCGCTATCTGAAAGTTGAGCAGGGTTGTGTGTGTATGCGATGAAAATACTTTGGAACAACTGCTCCAATTTCAACATCTGCTATTCTTGCTCTGTACAGGAATGGTAATAGGTATACTGAATTATTACAACAATAGGATGCCAAAAACTTTTGTGTGCTGAGCAACAAATTATTCAGTTCCAGCTCTGACTATTACAGAAATCTTGTGGTTTTCATAAACCTTGGTCTTGCTAATAAAATAAGCACTATAACATTAAAAACTACAGATGTGCCAGACATGGCCATGTCTTTATAGTTAGATTTCTGAAAGCAATAGTGCTACATATTGCCATCTTTTTATTTCATGCTTCAGCTTATCAAAAATATATTAAACTGTTAAGATTAATGAGAAAAATTTGATTTAGAGTAAATATTTTGAAATTATTTGATTAATGGATGTTAGGCCTGATCAGTTATCAGAGAATATAAACAGTAACAATCATACAACAACTTTTCTACAAAAACAATAAAACAACCAAGCTAAACTCAAACTTTTCATTAAAACAAATAATTAGTTTTTAATTTAAAAAACCCACAAAATTGCTCATGTATATCTAGTCATAAGAGGCAGAACAGTTTGACTCAAAAAAAGACAGAAAAACATATTCTTTAAGTCAGTGTTCCAATTCATTCACTAGCACCCAATTTTGAAAGAAGGAAGTCCAACAAAACATAACAATCTATCAAAATCTAAACATTTTTAATGTAAAATGTGACTTCTATTTAAAACGAGGATTCTGAAAGCAATTTAAACAGGGGCTGTTCTTTGCCCTATAATCTATTCTTTATCCGGATTACAGATCAGAATGTTTTTACTGCAATCTCTGCCAGAGCTCATCTTTTTATTGTGTACTTCCAAGCCCCCTTAATGTTTTAGAAAGGCCTTGACTAACTGAACTTTGATCTGATGTCTTCATTGAGGAAAGCTCCAGGTCGCCCATTTCAGATGCAAATCCTTACTGAGGCCCAATAGAGTTTAGTAAAGACAGCAAAAAAGAAGAAACAAGAAGTTTCCAGGATCCTCTTTGAGAATCCTGAGGCACATTGGTGTCCTTAATCCACCCTGCTGCATGGATTAAGGTAGGTGATAACCTCTCTTGATTCAAAAGAATAAGCACAGTGCCTACAAACTGGGTGGAGACTAGGATTTGGCTATAATAAAACACCATGCAATAAAAGCTCGGTCTATGTCAGAAGCCCATGAATAGGCCTCAATGTACTGCATTCCCAGGCTTAGCGGGAAGCTTGCAAAAAGCCTACCTGAATCAAGTAAGCATAAATAATCTGCTTTAGCAGAATGACCATGGAGAGTGCGCAGCAGAGACCTGCCATTCCTCTGGAGTTTGATCTGATAAATTTATTAGTGGATTGGAGGCTCAAGCCTGTTCTTTCCTGGATTCCTATTTTGCACAAGGAGAAATACACCAAATTGTCAGTGAGCAGAGTGCGCTTTTAGGCGACCGTCTGCTGTTAATGTTTCTAATTGCAATACTAATGTGCTAGAAATCTCAGATTTAGGATGAATCAAGGCAGAAAATTGATTTCATGCTGTGACAGTTTATATATTGCCCCAAGAACTTAAGCAGTTCATTCAAAAAAAAAAAAAAAAAAAAAAAAGGAAAAAACAAAAGAAAAAACCCACAGTCTTGCATTGCAAAATAGGCTATCCATATACTCAAAAATTTAACTGAAATTAACCTCTGATATAGATGAACGTAGCAAACTGGCAAAGGCATATCAAGCACAACATGACTGGTTACTCTGACAGATTTCTTATAAAACATCTGTCTTTTTCTGATGTATAAGGTATATGCAATATGTAAAGAGAAACTGGGATAGTTACGAGGAATACTAATATAAATATCACACATAAAAACAAAAATGAGTTACCTAGCTAGTCTATATGAGGTCTAATAAATGGGAAAGGAATATCTGAACTGTTAAAGAAGATCTCTTTTGTTACTTAGAAATAAAAACTAAATTAGGCATCAAAAATACCACAAAGACAGCTTAAACTCAGTGTTCTGACTTCATGTAAAGCCAGACACTGAATGGAAAAGTTTTCTGCTAACATGTTTAGAGTTCTAGCTAAAAGCAAAGCTATTTTCTCTCTTTCACACTTGAAACTATTTGATAGCAGTTTTTGAAAATGTACTAGTTTATTAGTTCAATCAGTTTGGAAAATATGCCTTGAAATTTTATTCAACGTTATTTTTGTTCGCCAAAAGGAAATTTAAAGAATAAATCACAACTGAAGGTGTTGATAGAATGACACTAGTAAGTGTATTAAACACCCAGGGTGCTGCAAGGCAACATCAGATTTTTCCTCTCTGAAGTATATTCACTATTCAAATTAATCTAGTACAGCACCAAGATTTTATGATAACTGCATTATAAAATACTGAAAAATATCAATTTCAGAACTATTTTTCACTACTTAGAATATCCCGAGGAATTTTAGGTATACACATCTTAAGAATTAGACTTTTATTTGCAAGTTTTAATTTTTTTTATAAATTTAATGTATACATAAAAATATTGTACCTCAATTATTCAGAATGATCAGCATCCAATTCAGAAAGTGACAATGATAACAAGGGAAACACCCCACAGAAGACTGACCATTTTAGTCTATCTTGCAGAATCAAATTTCAAAAATTGAGGAAAAGGATATGTATTGTAGAGAAATAGTATATTAGTGGAAGAAGTGATTAGTTCTATGAAGTTATAGAAGACAACTGCACACTTAACTGGATTATTTATGTTTTTCTATTTTGTTAGAACATCAGAACACTACTTGTTAACCACATGCAATTGTTTCCATATCAATGTACGAGGAATTCTGCTAGATTTTAAACCAGACAAATTATTTTGGGGATGGTTTAGAATGGCACAGCAAACTCCACAATAATAAAATTGATGAGATTATATGATTACCCCAGAGGCTGTTTGATTTGGCATGTCACCATATATAAGTCTTTTCTGACACAACTATATAGCCACGTCTGTGCAATTTCACAGAAAGCCAAACATGCCAAGCCATGTAAGATCATTTTGTCACATTCCAATTATTTTTTTTTAACAATACGACTGAATTTACTAGGCAGTTATGACTACATCTAAACCAGAATTTATAAATGTAGGCTAAAACGTATAGACAAAACAAGTTTTTTGTTCTAGACAGTGAAAAATGCTGTAGTTTTATTAAAAGTTGATTGTGCCACTGGATTAAATAAGAAAGTCACCAGCCACGGGAGATATATTATTCCAAAAACACTAACAACTGTAAACTCTGAAAGACTGACGACTGGCCTGGTTTCTTATATTCTTCCTGCACAGCGATTAGTTTCTAGTGACAGTGAAGCTGATATAATCTCAAGTGCTTACTTTAGTTGTTATACACATGGATAAGCAGGTCAACAGCTTGCTTCAACACAGTACTTTCACTACAGAGATCTAGGAAGTACTGTTGATTAAACCTACCTAAATAATTCGTGTACAACTAAATTTGAGCAAAGTTTGCAAGTGACCAAATTATTCAAACTTTCATAAAAAGCTATCTCAGTGTAATAATAGTAATTGAAAAATCCCATGGAACTTAATGGTTTTTACTTTTAAATTACTATTGACTGAATTAAATTCACAGTACCTGCAAACCATCAAATTCCCTTTCTCTCTATATCACTAATAATAAAAAAATATAGTGGTATATGATAATTTACCCTCAGAAGGTAATCCTGTAACACTGTCCATTAGCAGTTCTGTTGTCTAGATTCTGCTGAAAAGCATTTGCTCTGCAAATTCATTTTGACTGCAAGAGGAAAAAAGTATGAAATACTGATTACCTCCATTTTTGGCAAATTTTGGTAGCGCCAGGCTATTTTCATAGAATCCTGAAAATCTTCAGACTTAACAGCTGCTTCTTCTCCCAGTCCGTTTCTGTAGGTATCATCAAGCAAAGGGGCTGGAAGTTCCTACAGGTGGAGAGCAAAAGAATGTCAGCCATCTACAGTTAGTTAGCTAACTTAGATAATTCAACAAGGGTGCAGAAATAGAACAACTGTACCTATGTGTTTCAGCAGCTAAGCAGAAGATGCAAGCCACACTTTTGAGAAAATAATTTTATTTTACTTACTTTCTTTTTGCAAATGAGCCTGGTAAAGGCTCTCCATGAGAATGATTATGTACAGAGTCACATTTTCAGATTTCTTACAGCTTGTTTAAAAGATACACTCGTATACAACAAACTCCTATTACTATGGTTGCAAAAATTAAGCTTTACGGGTAGGAAAGCTACACAAAGATTATAATAGTTAGTATTTACAGTTTTCATTAAATTTACAGATTTATAACACGCTTTGGTAAAAAAAGAAATTTACTTTTGTCAAAGCTTCCTTGTATCTACCCAGAAAGGAAGCAGAGAAACTTTCAAACCAAAGACAAAGATTTCTGACAGCTAGGAGAAAATGAAAACAGAACACTGTAATGAAAGGTTCTGAGAAAGTATAAACACAAACATGAGCTGACAGGCACGCCAATGCATTTCATGTATATGCAGATACAAATCATTTGCATTTACTTCTAAGAGCATTATATAAAGGATTTTTCTAAAAAATATGCTATTTTGAATTTCTAATTTTATAACTCAGATATCCACAATAAAGAGTTAATTAATCTTATTTTCTAAGGTGCTGTTCTGAAAACAAATTACTGAATAGTTAAGCCATTATGCAGATTTAATTTCCCAATACAATTATACATAGATTTAAGCTTGTGTGCTGGTTTTGGCTGAGATAGAGTTAATATTCTTCATAGTAGCTAGTATGAGGCTATGTTTGGGATTTATGCTGAGAATAAAGCTGATAATGCACTGATGTTTTAGTTGTTGCCAAGCAATGCTTACACTACACCAAGGACTTTTTCAGCTTCTCTTGCTCCTGCCCACCCAGCTTCTTCTTGGTAAGAAGATGGGAGATGACACAGCCAGGACAGCTGACCCGAACTGGCCAAAGGGATATTCCACACCATAAGATGTCATCCTCAGTATATAAGCTAGGGGAGTTGTTTGGGGAAGGATGATTGCTGCTCAGGACTGGCAGGGCATTGTTTGGCAGGTGGTGAGCAGGTGCATTAGCTTTTTTTGTTGTTTTCCTTTTCATTACAATTTATTGGTAGCAGTAGTATTTTATTTCAATCATTAAACTGCTCTTTTCTCAACTCACAAGGTTTCTTACCTTTTTTCTCTGATTCTCTCCCCCATCTCACTGTGGAGGGCAGTGAGAAAGCGGCTGTGTGGTGCTCATTGCTGGCTAGGGTTAAACCACAACAGCTGGCTAAGGTAAAAAGGTCTTTCGGTGAAGAGCTGCTACCATGTAATCATCTCAAAATATAGCTCAATTATAGCAATAAAAAAAGAAATAAAAATCAACCTTCATTTAAAAAGCGAGTTCTGTAAAGGAATAATTCTGCAGACCAAAACATTTCCAGATATCTCTTCCTTTCATTCACCAAGATCACCTGGCTCCCAGGTACTACCTGCAGCTTTTTATAGTGGTGGGTAACTTCTGTTTTTCTGAAAACAAGTGCTAGCCACAGTTTTAAAGAGATAATGAAATTTTGCCTAAGCATTTCATCAAGCTCCCTGAGCTTCCCCCTGTTTCAGGTCCTGCTACTGATATAACTAGTTGCTACCTCATCCTGCTGTAGTATCCCTGGGCAGCTATCACATCATCTGCAAAGCCGAAATCCAGGAAATAGCATATTTACCATTCACCTTTACTGTAAGTAAAGAGAAAAACAGCACCAATATTTTCTTAAAGCTTTTTGATATTTTTCTCCTCTAGAATAATTGCAAGTGTCTGTCACTTATACTACTTACACTACTGATTCATTGTTATTATACAATAATTGGCAAAGACAAATCTGAGACAGGGACATTCAGCTATATACATTTGCTTTTGTACAATAACACACAATGCATGTTTTACACAGAGACTGTATTTTATGCTAAAATAGAACAGACGTCAAGACAATAAGGGGTGAGAGCTTTTCCAAGTACTACTGATAAAGTACTACTGCAAAACCCTCCTGCAACATTGAAAAATGTTCCTGCCTTGCAGTCATACACAGAACAAAATCTTCTTACATGGCACTATATAGAAGGAAGACACTACAAATACTAGCTGTTGACACCAAGAAGATCAGTCAAAAACAACTAGAGACAAACACACTATCTATGCAACACAATTAGGCACTGTGGTATGCCCTAAGTGTTGCTAAGAACAAAGCAGACTAAGAGATCATGGAAAAATGGTTTCACCTGAAGCTGATAAAGATTTTGTCTGCCAGAGATTAAAACCTATCTAAGTATCCACCTAAAATAGCCTTTTTTTTTTTTTAAATATAGTTCACTTTTAACTATTGACATCATAAAGACATTTTATTCCGACACAAAAAACTTCTAACACTATAAAATGATTGTTTAAACATGACTAAATTCACACAAAGCAACATGAGAAATCCTGTGCCTCAGTACCATGGCAGTTTGCATATGCATCAGCTTAGGTCCATTTTATGCTGTCTTGTCCCTTGCTGCCCCACAGAAGGCTCCAGGAGCACTTGGAAGAACTCTCTCATACCAAGAGCAACTCTTATTTCGTCAGTTGCTTTTCCAAAATGCATTTACCTAATAACTACCATGCTTAGCTGAAGAATACATTTCTTCAATGTACCATGTTCTGGTCCCTATGCATGAAACATGTTCACATGATGCACTGAGACTTAAGACATTTCTGGGCTACTAGGTCTCACAGCCATATAATTTTCTATCCCAACACTTTGCTCTAAAGTAAACATATCCTGAACCATATTCTTGCATGTATTGGTTGCGAACACTGCAGCCTCCTAGTAGACTTTGGACGTAATACAGCTGCAATCTGGAAAAGGTAGGCTGCCTTTGGAGCTGACTGATATTTTGAAGACCAGTTGCTTAAGGTCCACCTGGTATATTAATTTGGTTAAATACTTTCCAAGATGTTGTACTTAAGCACAAATAAGAAAGAAAATTCCAATCTTATTCATCATCTGAGTAGATCTGTAATTTGAACACATTTTAGATAAAGATTAATCAAGAGAACTAATAAAGATTGTTTACCTCCAGATTTGCATGATAACTTTATCACTATCATCCCAGCTTCTGCTTAACCTCATTTCCCTCCCATTTACACTAAATTCTGTGAAAGGGAGGCAAAACATGCGACTATTGTTTGAGGGTATGTCTACATTGGCTAGAAGCCAACATGCATGTGTTCATTAGCCTGGTAAAAGACTAAACAGAATACACAGGTGATCGCTAATGTTGTTTCTCCTTAGGATGTACTGAATAATATACTCCAGTCCATAATTTTCAAGAGTCTTTTAACTAGATCTTTGTATAAGCACATTTGGAAAGGGAGAGAGCTGAAAATTGGTTAGTAGGCTCAGGACTGGGGAGAATGAGACACAGTACACTGCTATATAAACCTGCTTTAAGGGCAATATTGAAAATATTGAAATTGAAATTATTAAAACATTTCTTTTTATCTTCAGGTCCTCTTTTTATCTTCATGATAACTAGAACTGGAAGAAAAGGCTTTCCCCTCTTCTGACACCGCAAATTAAATGCTATTCTTCCTTTCAAGGAAATAGCTCTTTCCAAACCTGACCATACCTAAGTGAAACAAAGCAGCTAAGTGAGAAAAAGTCTCCAGTTGTCATAACATAGGTATATTCTCAAAGATAAAGGCTGGCTGCTTCGATATATACTTCAAAACTCTTCAGTGTCATGAAAGGTTTCGCTGCTGTCCAAGAATTACAAAGCAGTCATCAGTTCTCAGATTGTTCTTAAAATAGAAGGAAAAATAAGAGTTATGAAAAGGATGAAGCAGACCAGCAGCCAAAGTAGGCACAGAATACAGGCTTCTTTTGGCACAGCTATACCAAAATTGAACTGAAAACTATACAGCAGAACACATAAGGGGAGCAGGGGAGGGCATGGTTTCTATGAGTGACATTTAAAGATGGCCAAGCCTGGGCTTTTCCTCAAAATATCTGCGTGTGGGAGAATCAAGAGCAGGGCTTTAGCGCAATCTTCCTCTGAGATTCATTACAAATTGAGAAACAAAGACACTAGTTTCCAGGAGTCTTATTAAATCATTATTTATGTTTGAGAACTGTACTTCTCTATCATATATAAAAAGAACTTAAATTCTGCTAAAATTATCATAATTTTAAGAAGTATTTGGGATTGTGAGCCCATTTAGAATTAAATAAATTCATATTCTTAGCATCAAAATCAGAATTTCAGAAGAATATAAGATTATTAAAATGTTTAAAAGTTACTAATAAAAGTGTTTGTTATTTAAACAAAAGAGTAAGAAAAGGAGAGTGGATTTATCAGCCTGTAATATCTCTATTTAATGTATTTCTGCATAAAAATATCTCAGCTTCCACATCATATAGCTTTGAAAAGCTTTGGAATTGACAATTTTGTGGCATCAACGTGTCAGCTCCTGAGAACCGTTACATTCTCCCAGGCTAAAAAAAAGACAAATCTCTCATAAGGTATATAAAAAAACAAAGCATGTAGCAGTGCATTAGTAAAATAATAAAAAAGAAAATATACAGCATTTCTTAGGGTCTCCTGAAATAAAAGTCTTTGCTATGCAGCATGAACACACAAAATGGAAGATAAGTGCTAAAGTTACCGAGTGCGGTTTGGTTGGGGCATTCATCTGTGTCTAGACTGAGATGTAGTAGGAAGGGAAAAAGGGAGAAGCAAGATTGTTGCTCTGTTTTAAAGCAAAAAATAAATTTTGAAAAAAAAGTTTTCTAAAGAACTAATACTAAATGACAATGCAATTAAAATAGTTTCGGTTCCTACAAAATGAGCTTATGAAGGTTGCAAACATGAAATAAATTAATTTAATTAAGAAGT